TTACCTTAACCTAACCGTAGGTTACGTTACGTACGTACAGAGAGTAATATATATACTATATATATATATATATATATATATATATATATATATATATACAAAATCACAAAATACCAGATTTGGCCAAAATTCGATAATGAAAATTGATATAACCAACCATGAATGTTACACATTTAAGAATAAATAATGCAAAAAATTTTGTAATAAATAACATAAATGTACCTTAGCTCTGATTTGTAATAAATATTTATCAGTAGATAACATATATTTGCTTAAGTTACAGATTTTAGTCTGATCAATCTTGCCATTATATACTTTGTCAGGAATTTTTGGATTTTTTTACATCCTGTAAAAAATCACATATTACAGTAAAAGGTTTTTTTTTTGTTACTTACCAAGCAGTTCTGCAACAGGGTCACTAATATGAGCACCAATTCCAATCCAGTATCGTATCCTTTCTAAGTTCAAAGAAACCAACCTTTCCTTATGTTCATTTGGCATTACATCATAAGTTCCAAGCTGTTCAAAGGGAGGATCTTGATGTCTTCTGGACTTTGGTGCAACAACAATGTGATAGAAAGGACGATTAGCACAGCCAAACCTTGCTAGTCTTATGCCTATTCTTCTGGAAACCATGTTCTGGAAATTTAAAACAAGTACAATGTCTAATGTTACTCCACTAGTTCAAAGAGTCCAGTTTTACTGGACTCTATCAATAACAACCTTTTGCTTTTTTCCATCCAACTACCCTATTCAGGTGCAGCTCATTGGGGGTCCAAAAGTAGAAATATTTTTGGGTCACCCTCACCTCCTTTGTAAAAAAAATATTAATTGCATTATTTCCACACAAAATATATATATATATATATATATATATATTCAACACAAAACACTTGTTAAAAAAATTATTTCTACTCACACACTGACATTGCTATGTTGGTAGCTTTCTTAAATCATGCATACTGTGTATGTGTACTGCACTTATCCACCAATCAGCACAGGTACCTGACAGAATTGTGTCAGAATAGTTATATTGTATCCATCGAAAACAAATTTGTGAAATGATGCAATACTAAAATAGGCAAACTCCAAAGTTTAGATGAAAATGGTAAAAAACATCCCCATGAATTACGGGCCCCTTGAACTACACAGGGTCCTAAGCAATTATATTTTCTGTTCATACTTGTGCTACTACTAATCCTACAATCCAATTAACTGGTCCTTTAACAACCCCTTCTGATGTAATTTTCTTAGCTAATCTTTTGCATGGTACCTTATGAAAAGCTCTTTGAAAATCTACATATATACCAAAAACTACATCTTTTGCTTTGTACTGATAACAAATAATGTCCTCAAAAAAAAGATAACAGAACATATTTTCAATCTTACAATCATCACAATTTTTAACTTTTATAACATTTTTGAGAAAAAAAACAATAAACATGTAAAATGCCACAAACTTTGCAAGATCCTTTCGTATTTGAGGATAAATGAAACCAAAATCAGGAATTTATCTAAAACCATTCTCACAGTAAACTTCGTGACATCACTTTAGGTTGAAAGTTTTAAAGTATAATTTTCTGTATCAATTACTTAGTATATTCAAAACTTAAATTTTCCCAAGCATTTCAAAAACATTTTACTAAACATATAAAAAATTTAACTTTAGGAAAAATTCTTCCTACTTTAAAGATTTAGTGAGCTTGGAAATCTTTGTTTCTGACTCATCCATAAAAAAGAACTAGTAAAAAAACAACATTTAAACCATCAGATACAGCCCATACATTCTCTTCCACCATAATATGGTCCCTCTTAAAATCTCTTTGAAAGTTTGTTGTCATTGAATCTCTTTTGTGATTAACGTAAGCATAAAAACTGCAAATGAAGATGAGCTTTTTGAGATGATCATTGAATAATCTTACTTGGCTTTAACAAAAGCTTTCTTAGTACAGATGAAATTAGTAGTCTTAGGTGCAGTTCAGTGTGAGGAGGATGTTGATGCTATACAAAAGGATTTAGATTATTAGGTAAATTGAGAGAACAAACAGCAGACAGCTATTAATTATAATAAAAGCCAGGTAATGCATTTGTGTTATGATGACTTATGAAAAAAACACTAGGTGCTTTGAATGAAAAGGATCTTGGTGTTCTGGGTGATCAGCCTCTTAAGCCATCCAAGTAGTATGCTGTTGCTAGTGGTAAGGCAAATAGGATTTTAGGTTGTACCTACAGAAATACTGAATACAAGTCTAAAGAGGTTGTAATTTAATCTTATATATCACTAGTTAGGCCTCTTTTGGAGTATTTTGTTCATTCTTGGGTTCCTTAGGCAAGACATTAAACTGTTAGAACGAGTGCATAGGACAGCTGCTAAAATGACATCTGAGATGGACAGGTTGTCATACAAGGACAGGTTAAGATCTCTGAAATTGTTTTTCTTGAAAAAAGAAGAGTTATAGAGGATTTGATTGTGGTGTTTGAGATTGCTAAGGGAATTCATAGTGTTGCTGCAATGTGCTTTTTTCCATATTCGATGGTAAGAATGGGAGGACTGGGGGCCATAAATATAAATTTTGGTAGAGTAGGAGTCATCTTTAGCTAAGATATTTATATTTTACTAATGTCTTTTTCACATATCAACTGACATAGTTTCCACATAACTAATTTCTGATAAGATGCCAGACAAAAAAATTTCCTTAGTTCATCACAATAGTAGGGGCCAGGGAAAGACTAGTTAATTGGATTATAGGAATGACTGAATTGGAGGAAGCAAAAGGTTGTTATTTATGGGGCACATTTGTTACTGGTGGAGTAACTTAGGGGTCAGTGATTGGGCTTTTGCTTTTTTATTTACATTAATAATATCAATATAATAATAATTAGTAAACTGGTAAAATATGCTGATGAGGTTAACCATTTTAGTGTGGCAGGGACATGTATTTCCCAGTGCTCCGAGAAATAGATGTCCCAGCCACAGTGAATGGGTTAAGCTCTTCAATATTTCTAGCTATATTAAGGATGTTTAGGCACCACAGAATGACTTGAATCAGCTGGTAAATTGGATAAATATTTGGCAAATGATCTTAACTACAGTATGTGCAAGATAATGCAACTGGGATATCATAATTTGGATCAAACATTTAATGCAGATGAGAGCCACCATAACAGTGTTACCAAAGAAAATTATCTTGGCATAAGTGATGGGTAAGTCATGCAAGCCATCAAAGCATCACTCTCTATTACTAGTAGTAAAAATAATAGAATTTTAGGATGTATTTACAGAATTATTTATTTAAAGTCAAAGGAGGTAATTATTTCTCAATACAAATCACTAGTTAGGTCTCACATGGAACACTGTGTGCAGTTTTGATCACCTTATCAAATTATAAGGAATTATGAATGAGTGTAAAGAAGAATGTAATACTATGTATACCACACTATATCTAGTGCCAAAGAGGCCTTTTGCCCAATACTAGGGCTCAGCAGGAAAGCTGGGATATGACAGATATAGTAATGGTCTAGATGTTGTTTCATATAATCTATTACCTCACCAAAAACTATTTCACTGTGAACTTAAGTTGGTGAACTGCAATTTTTATGATTAAATTTGAGTCATTAAATATAAGAATTAGGTTTATGATTTTTATTAACATAAAATTATTTATTTACTTTAACATAAAATTGTTTATTACTATCATTAGTTCTTTATTTATTTAACTTGAATTAACAATTACAACATAACAAAAAGAATAATCATTTACTGGATTAAACTTTAAAGGTTCAGATGAAGGTTAATAGTACTGGGATGATTCCAAGAATGGAAAAGGGATCTTGTAGAGATAGGTTAGAATCTCTTATTTCCTCTTGAGAGAGAGAGAAAAAAAAAGGTAACAGATGATCTTACTGAAGCTTAGATGACTATCTGAGAAATCCATAGGATAGAGGGCTCTGATTTTTAATTCTGTAGCTAAAAGAATGACAATTTACCCAATGATGGCCACATGAGTGGTCAAAACATTGTTATAAAGTTCAAAAATCAAAATAATCCACTCAAAACTGTTTCTTGACTTTTATTTAATGCAGTTGCTAGTTGCCTGGCAGCCAGGAACGATCTTTCAAATACTAAATAACTGGGAGACCAAAAATTTGAATATTGATGAGCTATGATTACCTATCACTTGACTTAATGACAGAGTAGTAGTTTTTAAGTTCAATGAAATGATCTGAATAAAACTTTTGCACTAGGAAAAATAAATATTAATCATCATTCTTTCCTACTAGCTGCCAGGAACAATCCTCAAAATACTAGATACCTGACAGTATATAATTTCACGATCATGAAATGAATATTGATAAACTTCCAATATGATAATTTATATTTAGATAATTTGTGATAATATAATTTGTTGAAATTATCATGAGTATTATTATTATCCTTATTATTTATTATTATTGTTATTAATCATCATCATTACTGTTATTGTTGTAGCTTATCAATATTAAAATTTTTGGACTGCAGAGTATTTGAAAGCTCATTCCCGGCTGCCTGTATTTAGCCGCTGCGCTAAAGGATGATTATCTTATGTTAAACAAAAGAGTTGCATTATGCTTAGTGAAGAGCTTAAAGACACGTTACCGTAGTTTAATAAGGGAATATTATTTACCAACGTTAAAAAAAAGAAGCTAAGTTTGAATTTTAACTTTTAGCAACGGTGGATGGGGTGCAAAGACAGCCTAGAACTGTTGAAGTTGAACTTAACGGACCAAATGGTCTCTTGCTCGTAAAAAAACACAAGAAGCCTAGTACTAGTACTCACCTTTGGCGTATTTAAGTCTCCGTTACTTTAAGACAGTCTATATTAAATATATTTAGAACACTTTGGATGTTCTTGTCATGCTAAAAAAAATTCATTAAAAAAATAATAACACACAAGGTCACAACTTTTCGATTACAATATAACAAACGACACATATGCTTCTCAGGAAGCTGAACTTTGTTACTAGTCCAGTTTCTTCATTTAAAAATATTAAAATTATGGAAAGCGAAATAAAACAACAAACTAACGTAAAAATATACATATATCTTCTTCTATGTTTTTAAAATCACAAAAAAATGAGGGTCTCCACGATCTTTTACTCATAACGGTGTACCAAAGCTAACAGCACCAAATTATTGTAGAAAATAAGAATTCTATAAAATCACTTTAAAATACTCGCATTTCCGAAACAATTCTCAAAGAAAAAAGGAAAATGGTTATCTAGGGTCGTTTACCTATTAGTAAGCATTAAATGTATTTGTTACCTTTCCTTGTATAAAGGAGAATCTCAGAATGGCTTTGGAAGTGAAACTTATTTTTTAGTTTTTGTTTTCTAAAACATGTTGGAGGTAGTAGCTTTGAAGCCCTCTAGGGGATAAATAACCCTGATGATACCTCTTTGTCTTCTTGTTTTAATATATTCATATTTTATTGTGATTTTAAAAATCCAACAGAAGAGGTATATTTTTAGCGTTCAGTTATTTCCTTTTATTGTATTATTTTTGAATAACGAAACGTAAACTAGTAACCAAGTTAAGCCTTCTATGCTTCTATCGCACCATGTTTATACTGTTGCGTCAGCGAGTCACATGACTGGTGTGACGCCACGTTTCTAGAACTATCCCGTATCTTGGCGAATGCTCTAGTATTCACTAGATGGAGGGTAGACTGGTATATAAGAGGAGGGTGACAACGTGACGGGAGATTATGGTAATGTGTGTATAGACAGTGAGTAATTGAACTGCAGTCAGAGAGCACGAGAGACGTTACAGCGTTTGTTTAGCGCGATTGTTGAAGTTGAGTGTATCGGTAAAGTTGTATTCGGAAAGAATAAACCAGTTTTATTAACTAAAGAACTTGTGTCGCTAAAGTTTCGTCGGAACGAAGTTACGGAAAGTTAATTAACAAACGGAGACGTAACAAATTGGTGTCAGAGAGTGGGATAGATAAAAAAAAAGAAGAAAAATGGAAATGAGAGGCGGAAAATCAAACTACAGCTTAGCAGACTTGATGGCAGCAATACAAAAACAAGAAAAGAAACAAGAAGAACAAGAAGAGAAATTACAACAGTTGTTAGAGGAAAAAGAAAAGAAACAAGAAGAACGAGAAAAGAAACAAGAAGAACGAGAAGAGAAATTACAACAGTTGTTAGAGGAAAAAGTAAAGAAACAAGAAGAAAGACAACAGCAGTTACAAGAAAACCTACAACAATGGCAGCTCGGAACAGCAAAGTAAACAAGAGA